ACCATCGTGGCAGAACATGTGGAGATGGTGAAGGAGTACCTTGGTGTTCCCCTGTACAACAGACTGGTCTGGAGACGCAACTGTGTCATCGTAGACTAGAAGGGAAAGACCAGACTGAACTTCCTAAGGAAGCTAAGGTCTTTTGGAGTTTGCAGCAATATTCTGAATATTGTTTGTAAAACTGTTGTGGAGAGTTTGATCATCTGTTGGAGTATAAGCATCAAAGCAAATGACTTAAAGAAGCTTAACAAGCTGGCAGAGCATGTGAACGGAGCGGAGCGCCGCGCAATTCCCGCTCAGGAGGAAGTTTGCTCATCTGCTTCGCACTCACCTTAATTTTCCTGCTGCTCCGGTAAAATCGCTCCACGCACGCTCAAAATTTTTAGTAGAAGGCATTTTCTGACATATTTCCTTTATGTAATTATGCCAGGGCTCTGGGACAGACGGTGTTTGATTTAATGTTGTGACTGATAAATGTGTATTGTGTTATTATTGCTTTTTATTGTTCTTATTATGTGTATCGTCTTATTATTGGCTATGATTCTGAAGGTCAGTCGTTAAAGAGAAGGGATTGTCGTTAAAGAGGGGGGATTGACATGCTTACAATGGAACCAATCGAACCAAACGACCCACGGTTTCAATTTGCATGTTTCCAAGCAATACAAGGCCTTGTCTATATAAAGTCTCAAAGTCACTGTGGATCCAGACATTTGAATTGAGAAAGCTTCCTGGAGGGGAAGCGAAACGTCCAGTGGATTGTTTTTTTTTAAACCTTTACAGAATGACTATGACCTGGATGACTGAGAATCTTCATCAGCAACACCTTATGAGTTACTAAAATATTAAATCACCCTTTGAGATCATTAAAGTATTTTTAATTGAATGGAATTCAGACCTAAAGTGAACAAAAAGGACCAAAATCTGTTTGGAATGAGACCAACATTTTAAGGTGGTCTTGGTCGGGTTGCTTGGTCTGGACTAAGTTTTTCTAATTGCCATTAGCAGTTGCACTGATGATTCCAACTGAAGGCAAAAAAAACTCTGGTCTGTTTAAAGTAGACCAAATGTGGCAGGTGTGAATGCACCCTTAATGCTTCATAAGAGTACTGTTTGTGCGACAGCTATACTGTATGTTCTGTATTTTTATTTTTAACAAACTACATTATTTCCATTAGTTCCATTTTCTCCAACGTTAACACACTTAAAACCAGACTACATTAATCATGTGTGACATATTAATAGTTCAATAGAAAAAGAACGTAACCTTAATTACAGAACTTGGAGAATCTAATGTATTTATACAGCTTTTAAAAATGTGCTTGTCAGTTATTTATAGGCATAAAATGTATAGCGTGTTTAAAGGGATTGAGCAATAGCCCTTTTTCTATATAAAAAATCATGATTGTATGAACATTAAACAATGTAATACTGGGTTTCATTTCACTAGCTCAGTACCTAAGTTAATAATATGCTTTAAAAGGATGGAGCCATGCTTCCATATGGAAATAAAATAAGGAAAAATATCAAAAAGTTTCAATAATAAGATAAAGTTGAACGTTTCAGCAGTGTGAAATACGTCTTTTTGTTTGAGTGTTTTCCTATTTAACATTGATCAAGTTTTTTGGGTTTGACTAGGATTATAGGCATAAACCTTTTGCAGAGGTATCAAGTATCAAAGTACAAATACTTTGTTACTTTACTTAACTACAGATTTTGGCTATCTATACATTACTAGAGTAACTTTTTTTAGAAAACTTTTTACTTCTACTCTTTACATTTTGTTTGCAGTTATTTCTACTTTCTACTCCTTACATTTAAAAAAAGACTCGCTAGGTTTGTTTCATTTAAGCTCATTTTCATTATGGTCTGTTGGTATTTAAATACCACTAAAAACCATCAAAATAATTAGTTTCATCCAGACAGTTCATTTCTTTGTTGTTGGACTTGGTACTGAAGCAACATGTTGTTATCCACATACCAGAATAAATAGTTTTTCAAGATGATGCAGATTTAAATGGTTATAAAACTAAGAAAATTAAGTATAAGGAAGTTATCATGGAGAATTTTAGAAAAGTTTTTCTTTAATGAGGTAGTGCAGTAACCAGTATAAGGTTTAAAGCAGTTGTCCTTAACATTTCTTCTTCATTACTTTTATTTTCATACTTTAAGGAGTTTAAAAATGGGTACTTTAATACTTTTACTTGAGTAAAAAGCTTATGTTGATACTTTAACTTTTACAAAACTGTTTTAAACAGTGTGATTTATACTTCCATTTAACTAATAAACATTAATACTTTTGACATCTTTGCCCTTTTGCCATCATATAAAATCTAGGCTACATTCTCCACTGTCCACGGGAGCTTTCTAATCTAATCTAATGTGGATGAGCTTGTTTATCTTTTTGACCTACCTGTTAAACAGAATAGAAATAATGTACTATTTTCTTTTCACTACATATTTATGTGCTGGTTTGTCTCTTAAAACCTCTAACTGAAATCTGGTTGTCAAAGAACAAAGGGAAATAGTTTACATACTTTTGCTTAGCATTAAATATTTTAGTAACACAGAGAAAAGAGGTCATGTAACAAAGTGGCGTTAATGTAAAATGGAAAAAGACTGAAAAAGAAAGTCTGGAACCACAAATTGGATTGGTAGGAAATCAAACTTGACTGTTTTATTATGTCATTGTTTTCATAAAATAGATTTCATTTATTCCAGTTGCTTGTTGAAGGATGCTTACAGTTTGGTGTAACTACTTAACAAAACAGTTTGAGGCCAAATTCTCCTGTTGCCTAAAACTGGAACCATTATAATGTTTTATAAATGGGTGTAATTTGGGTGTAAAATTGGATACGAAGCAAAATTCCTTATCTTAATTTTGTATTCCTAAATGCCTGAGAAAACATATCTTTCATATGATTTTCTTGATAAATGATGTGTCAACAACAGTAGCCAGGCCCACAGGCTCCTAAGGAAATAGTATGAATTAAAAAGAAAAATATAAACACAATTTGTAAAGGGCCGCAAACCCACATACACAACCTTGTGAGCTTAGAGCTCTGGTCTCATAAACTTCACCTCTTGCTCTTCAGTGTAAGAAGACAAAAAAAAAAGATGGCTCTTGCATGATAAAAGCAAAATAGAGACAGAAGGGAAAGAATATGAACGCTTGGGTCTAAGGGCCAAGTTCCTGCCATTAATGCTGGAACACACAGTGTGATTGGTTGTTTAAAGGTCATGCATGCGAGTTAGATCTCTGCATTTCATCAACAATGACATTTATTGTTTAGTTTTCCTCCTCCTAATCGTTATTTATGTACATTTAGAATCCTGTAATTAAAACAAAATGACGTTTTGATTTTATTAACGTAACCTTTAAGGACAGGAAGGTAAATGAACACATTTTTAAGGTTATGCGCCTTTGACCTGTGGCCTCAATCAGGCTTTAACTGAGTGCTGGTGGGGTGTAATGGGCTCAGCCCCCAGAAAAGCTTCTAGATACTTAAGGGTCTCACTGTAAAAAAAAAAAAGAAGAAAAAAACAGTTGAAGATAGGGTCAAGCTGTTTTATTTTCACATGTTCTTTAGGATAGTGTGTTGGAAAAGAATGCATACTCTATGAACTTTGTCATTTTTCTCATATTACAACCACAAATTTGAAATCTGAGCTTTAATTGGACCATTTTTACAAATGTATATAAATTCTTTGTAGCTCTGGTCTGATTCATGTCTTACCCTGAAAGGGAACTTTCAACCTAAATTATTTTGTTGAATCAGCTTCCTTTCAGCATTGCTCTGTACAAAACTCAAACCATCTTTCCATAAGCACTTTTTATCAGCTGCTAAAAAAGAAAAAAAAAAAATAGCCCCACAGCATGATACTGCCAAAACCATGTTGAAGTGTCAAGTCTTAGTTTTAAAGTCGTAGGGAAGTCATATTTAAATGTGAAATCATTCTGGCTTAAACATGTATATGAATGTATTCTTTATCAGATGATATTGTCCCAAAAGTTAGAAAATTTATATTTTTTAAAATCCTGTATAAAAATCTGTCTTAAAATCTCATCGTTATCTCATGCAGGCCAGTTAGTTATATGTCAGTTTGTACATCTTAATTCGGCCAATCATATATCAACAGTTATCTGTCAATCAAATTTTTGGTCATAGCATCTTGATTCATATGTCGCAGCTAATATATGCAACGGTTAAAATAAGAAATAAGAATAATTTCCTTTCCCATTGAGTTCCGTCCCAGTGTTCACGGGGATGGACGTCTGTGTCCTCTGCATGCGTAGAGCTAACAGAACTGGCAGCGTTGCGAGGCAAGGGCTCAAACATGTACGGCTGGAAGCCTTCTACACCAAACCAAGCTTCTGCTGCCCTGGCATCCTCTTCCACAACATCTTCGTCCCCGCTTTCCGCCTCTAAATAAAAAATGCATGATGGAGGAGACTCATCCACGACCTCCAACACAAAACATTCCTCCTCTTGCATGTTTCTGCTGTCCATAGCGTTCCTTGACAGTATTGTTGCTAAGTGCTACTTGGTCTCAATGCAATTTCCCATTGGGAACCTACTAGCAATAAATTGCTAACTGCTTAGCAAAATGCTTCCGACAAACCGGCCACAACCAAAAATGCTTGCGAACCTCCCAACACATCAATCCCGCCCTCTTTATAAACGACCAATCACATTCACTTTATTTATTCGTGTAAAGTCGGGCACTACTCAGGAGAATTCGGAACTGCGACGGTTGGAAAAGCCGTTTCCCTATGACTTTAAGCTTCCTTACAACCTTCTCCCTGAATGCTGTGTTCCTCTGTCTTTATGATGCTCTCTGTACACTGATGTTCTCTTATAAACCTATGAGGCCACCTGTGGTTTTCTACAAAACAATGATTGCATTAGTAGCGAGTTTAACATATTATGCTATCTCATAAGATAAAATGAAATGTGCAGCATGGCAATAATAATGACTCTGTGTTTGTTTTTCTGGGTTAGGATGGAGAGAACATCTTCTACCTGGCTGTGGATGACATAGAGACAGATACAGAGCTTCTGATAGGCTACCTGGACAGTGACATGGAAGAAGAAGAGGAAGAGGAGGAGGAAGATGTAAAAGATGAAGATGAGAGCAGTAAAGAGGCCAAACATCTTGTAGAAATGGGTAAAGTGAAATCTTCAGAATCAGCTTATTAAACCACATTTTTGTTTTGGACAGTTTGAATGAGCTCTATGGGTATGCCTCCCCTCCCTCTGTGTAGAACTTGTCATAAAGAAGGAAGACCACCCCTGCCTGCTCTGTGAGAGCAGTTTTCCAAGCGAGGAGATCCTGGCCGCCCACCTGCAGAGTCTGCACCAGAGGCCCAGCACCGAGGAGAAGGAGTTCAAATGCAGGAACTGTGGCAAAAAGTTCCCCATCAAACAAGCTCTGCAGCGCCAGTGGGTTGATTAATGATTAGCAGCCTTTTCACTTGAGATTTGTTGAAAGAACTAAACAAAAAATAAGCATATTTGGTTGCAGCAGCATAATGATAGACTATAAAAAGAAACTAATTTTAATTTAGTTTTATTATTTCTTACATAAAACTATTACTTTTGATATTTCAGCACCTAGTCTTCCTCAGTATTTCACAGGGTTGGAGCCAACAGAAAGAGAGGGGTGTCTCTGTGCTTCTGAAAGACTCAAATAGACTCCTTTATTTTTCTAGCTTGGTCCTTTGGATCTTTATTATGCAAAAGCATCCTTGTATTTTAAAGAGTGTATGCGTTCTCTAACTAGGTCCCTGAAACCTTTAAAGCGGGGCATACACTGCGTGATTTTTTTGCCCTTTTCAGGGCGACTTTCCAGTCGTGCAAGAATTTTTTTGATTGGCCCGATTTTCTGCATGATCGTGCCTCGTGCGTCGTGTAGTATACACGAGAGGTTATCAGTCTCTCATGACCACCTCCCGATCAGACATATAGGATTTTCAGTCGACTGTCTTGGGCAAATCACTCAGTGGGCATGCACAAACAAAGATTCTTCTTCTTCTTCCTCTCAGATGAAGCATGGCGGGGGTGTGAGTGAAATGGAGTTCTTTCAGAACGTAGTAGCCACATTCGCTCAGCCATGTCTTTATCCAAATATGTCGTCGCCTTTTCTTCTTAGGGCTTTCAGCACAAAATTGCACATTTTGCCAAGGCAGCGCGTTTCACTCTAGTGACCTTTATATTCCACTTCTATTCATTTGGCTTCCGGATAGACGAGTTCGAGTAGCGCCATCTCACTGCGGATCTGAGTACATCTTGGTTTTTAGATGTACAGTGTGAGCAAGTAGATTGCATCACATTGTCGTGCTGCACAGTGTGAGAACATCCATCATGAGCTGTGAACTTAAGAGAGCTAAAAGAGAGAGGAGCCCAGATGCACACTTTACTTAACAGTGGTCTGAAGTACAAACCCAAACGCTCATATTTTATTTTCTAGCTTAAGTTAATGTTTGTTGTTATAAAAATTCATCTTTAGTCTCATCTGACCACACTGGAGTCACACGTTTTTTTGAACTTCACATGATCACCCAAGTAACTTAAGTACTTAACACCTACAGAATTGAATATAACTCTGTTTCAGATAACATTTGGTTGCACTTCAAATTAGTGTAAGATTTACTCTTTAGCCTGTGTCAAATTTTACTCTTATTAGTGTCAAAATCAAGAAGACTTCTGAGAGACTTACAGGTAAAGGCTAATTTATCTTCAGAAACCAGGTCGTCTGTGTGTGTGTTGCAATGATCGCAAATGTACCCCCACCCCCTCCGCATAAACTCTGGTGCACCTCTTCAAAATTGTAGGTGACCGTAGACAATCTACATCCGCTCTACACTATCCGTATTTCCTGTTATGTACCTTACAGGCTTATTTTGTTTGTATGACCGCCATTGTGGAAAACGACCACCTGGATCCCCGCTCTTTTTCACCATCATGTCCCTCCATTGTCGCCCAAACTTGCCCCCACTTCCTCACCACCTCGGCCGTATCTAGTCCAGCAGCTGGTTGGTGATTGTCCATCTTGCGTTGTGGTGTGGAATTACATAGTACAAACCACGCTTCAATATTGTGCATAAAACATAAATATCTGCTTCGGTAGTATAAGCAGCCCTTAATCGACACCATGAAGAGTAAATGTTATACTGCACCGTGGTCAGATTTTTCACTGACTGTTATCTCCAACATTTGAGTAGATTTATACTCTTTAGACTAAAATAGGATAAAATTTTGAGCACTTCATTTTTTTACTGTGTACATATAATCGGATGGTAATGCAATGTACGTATAATCTTTGCCATAGTTCTCTTATATTAAAACTTTAGAGATCCCTCTTGTGTGCTGATCAGATCAAGTAGTTAGGTTTGTTTTAAACTCTTTTATTGAGCTCGGTGTGTGGGTATGTCTAAACATTTCTTGTTCTTTTCTGAAGATCAGCGCTCGGTTCCCTTATTCAAATAACAATTTTCCAGCCCTTCTACACTTAGTAGATAGAACAAGGGAAAGAGGTCTCTATATCCCCTGGGAAATATCTATCCATGGATTACCAAAATAAAGTTTTTAGACACTTTTGTTTAAAAAAGTAGAAGATAGATTAGGAATAAAGCTTTACTAGTTTTTTTAGGGATCCAGATGAATATTTCATCACTGATAAAAAAAAAAAAAAAGTAAAACAAGGGACTTTCCTTTTAGTAAATTTATCGAAATTAAATTTAGGGTTTTCAAAAGTTAAATTATGATGCCTGATAAAAGAAAATTTGACTTAAAGGGACACCTTTACTATAGATGCCAAACATACAGATGGAGTAACAGTCAAAACAAAAACTTAATCCTGAATGCATTTGCTTTTTATTAATATCTTTTAAGCTGAGACAAAGCTTAAGCATGAGAACATATTAATGGTAACAACATTTCCAGTTTGATGGGGAAATCTGTATATGTAAGAATGATTTGGAATAACTCTAATCTGCCTTTGTTAGTTTATCTTATCTACTATAACGAGGATTTCTTTTTAACATAGTATCTGATTTGTTTAACATTTGGATTTCTCTGCAGTGTTTTGCATTGTTCTGAGACACTTGATCCATCAGGTGATTCTAAAGCTCACCAGTGCTCCCTTTGCCACAACACCTTCAGCTCAGAATCCAGGTAATGCATGTATTTTAATAAACAATGTCTTTACATTGTAAAAAACAATAATTTTATTCTCTTGTTAGTTGATTCCTCCATAATATTCCGCTCATATTTCTTGTCCACAGTTTCGAACAGCATAAGGAGGCATGCAAAGGAGATGCCAGGTTCATATGTAAAGCAGAAAGCTGTGGGAAAAGATTCAAAAGCAAGGACGCTTTGAAGAAACACAAAGGCAATGTGCACACAGGTGGGAATCTCCGTCTTTTCTTATTGCAGGGTCTTTCTCTTTGATGTTCACTGTCTCAAGCTCCTGATACATTCACAGCCCCATAAATTATCGTTTTGAAGGTTTTAATGTAATGAATGTGTTTGCCCATCAGCAGGCTGAGCATTCAAAGAACTGCACAAAACCGTACATGACCTCGATCAGTTAAAGCCGCTCCAATGTTAAGACTCATCTCTAATTACATGAACTCCATAATTGCTGACCTGTGTTTTCTGGGGCAGCTTACTCTGCCAGATAATTGAGCTTCCATAGCTATTTATGATGGGATGTAGGGCAGCGGGAATCTGCAAAAGCCTCAGATGTAAATCGAGTATCAAAGAGAGATTAAGATATTCATCTGAGAGGCTGATGGAGCTGAGAGCTGGGACTTCATGCTTTTCCAAAATGTGGTCAGGACAGGGAGAGGGTGTGTGAATGTGTGTGTGTGTGTCTGTGTGTGGGCAACGGGGGAAGTGGATCAGACACAACAGATGTTGATCTTGTAATTTAGATGGGGATAATGGCTCTCTTGGTCTGAAAACGGTGGGATTACTCTGCATATGATCATAAACTGGTAATATTTTTTACTGAGCAGTGCTTGTTCTCGAATTTGTTGCTACATTTGTTTATTCTGACAATTTCTTATGCTTTCTTTTTTTAAGGAAGTGCACGACGGAAGCTAACTTGCACCATATGCAACAGAAAATTTTCTTCTTCTCTAAATCTTCAAGAGCACAGAAAGGTAAGATGTTCTTAAACTCAGTGTCCTGCTAAAGTATTCAAATATTATCCTCTTTTTAGATATATTTTCAAAGTATTCAGCCCTCTTTACTCTGATACCCCTAAATAACATGCAGTTATACCAGTTTGTATCCAAGGATAAAATAAGAAACCATCCCACTGTGAAAAACGTGGGTTTTCTGGTGAAATTGACCTTTTTGGACTATTTGCAAAACTAACATTAGAGATCATCCTGAATCATGGTGGGAATGTAGAATGGGAAAACAAGGAACACTACAGGGCAGGTGTGGGTTTTTCAGGTGTGCAAGAGCACGACTCACAGTGTTGCTTTACAGTGTTGCCCTCCCCCAGCATCTGCAAACTTCAGAAAAAGCTAATTGAGAATCACGTTTCACTCACCTCCGCAGTTGGAAACCGTTTGGCTGAGTCTTCTTTTCTTTAAAGTGGAAATCAAACTGTCAACCAAACTTTATTTATGAAATTGTGTCTTACTATAATCAATAATTATATCACAAACGTGAAAAATATAAATGTATAAAAGAAATAACAGCATTGTTTATAATTTTTTACCATGTTGCAGAACTCTAAGCGGTTATGTCTCGGGGTGGGTTGGTTCTGTAGCTATCAGTTACCTTGGTAAATCCAGGCATACTGTACCTCACAGCCATAAAACACCTAAGATATAATGGAAGCTGAAGCTGAAAGGACAATCCAGTGTCTAGATCCCCCTTGCTAATGATTTCAAGCCCATTCGGCGCGTGACTCAATATATAAGTACTGTTAATAGTAAGACACAATCTCGTAAATGAAGTTAGATTAGTTGGACGTTTGATTACTGCTTTAAAAATAGCTTCAAATAATATTTTGTATATACTGTATAAAAACCCTAACCCGTTTTTTTTTTATTTTTAGAACATGGTGCGCAGGTTGGTCATGACGTGTGGTACGGATTTTTATTATAATTGACAACTGGTGCAGCTCTGAAGCATGACTTTGGCTCTGCTTTCTAAACATTTAAAAAAATTGCCTGTTGAATAATTTTGAATGAGTTTGTTAGAATTTGACCAGTTAGTGGAACATTGTACCAAATCGGGACGTCGGGTCACCCTCTGGTTGTGGACTCATGGCTTTGGAGTGTTAAGGGAAAGTGGTAGAATTTAAAGGGAGGATGGAGTTCACTTCATGATGCAAAAAAAAGGGGATTTTATCCCTTAAATCCTGCTAATTCCTGGTAGTTCCCAACCGTTTATAGTGCAGCATGTTCACGTAGGGCTGGGCGATAATTCAATAACGATATATATCGATCAATAGACGTGTGGCGCAATAGAAAAAAATAGGCTCGATAAAAGTTCGATAAAAAAAACGCAGTTTTCCTTCCTTCTCATAGTAGCCTATCATGTAGGTTTATGCTAGTCACTACTTCCTCCCAACCAATCGCAATCGCGGACCCAGGCACGCCGTCACAAAGCGCCGCCCTCTCAAACCACAACACAGAGCACATGAAGATGTCCCAGCAAGGAGAGGCGGAGGAAATTGTTTCAAAGAAGGGTTTTTGTAGTTCGGCAGTTTGGCAGTATTTCGTTGGCAGTTTGGCAATATTTTCCATTTATTTGTTATATTTATTTTGGTCACTTTAGTTTATTCTTTGTCAGTATTTAATAACATAACTCAGGTCTCTTAAGTTATTTTTCTTTAAAACAATTCTGTTATGGTTAAAAAAGTTGGTTAAATAAATATTTAATTGGAAGTCTGTGTTTGTGTTCTTTATTATAAATAAATCATTTAGCACTATCATAAAAAGTCCAGGCAGAGCTGCACATAAAATATGGTTTCAAATCTTTTCAATAATTATCGATATCGATCAATATGCATTTTTTTTTATCGATAAGCTTTTTTTCTATATCGCCCAGCCCTATGTTCACGTCTACTTGTGCCAACTGGACAATGACCCTAGACCTACACTAAAACTGTATGTGGAACAAAGCATAGTAATGTGGGATAAGGGCCAGCTCACAGTCCAAATCTGAAAACATTTCCAGTCTGTGATAGGTTTTAAATTTATGTCTGTTCCATCTAACCTAACGTTTGGATCTGTGAGAATTTACTCAGCCCGCTCTTGTTTTTACAGCGACGTCTCTTTGGAGCTGTTTCCCGCAGCTTGGTCGTTTCCATCAACCTCCACACTGTCTGTAAAACACTCTAACACTCTTTATCTCACACTCTGCCGGGCTTTATGTGCTTCTGTGATCACTTACTCCCCCCTTTATGATCAAGTTGTTGCAAATGTATTCTAGGTTACACGGTGCAGGGGGCTGCTTTCTTTTTCACTGGCTCATCCAAACAGGTCTTGTGAAATTTAAGAGCCTCTATTGGCAGACCATAAGATTTTAACCTTGGCGTCAGGATCCCCTCTCTCTCATTGATGGATCACAGGTTTGAACGCAGCTGTTTAAATACTTTCCCAAAAACTTTTTAGGCAGACAAATCTTTGCTTTTGTTACTGTGGCTATCATCCTGGTTTTCATTCCACACTTTTGGTCACTTAGGTTTGGGTATGTTCTCATCAGACAACATTCCTCTGAGTCACACAGATGTAATTGTAGCATAATTAGCTGCTATCGCAATCATATTTTCTAAGTTTTTTTTACAAAATAGCTGATTTCCAAGAATCAAGTTCCCTTTTTTCTATGACAGAAAAGCACCTGAGATTTACTTCTTGTTACCGTTTGCAACTATTGGTTCGGACTAGAAAGTAGCATTCTCATGTCTAAATAGGCTAGTTTACATCTTCTCTTATGTAATGGTCAAATAAAGCTTTCAGATAAATAAATTAAATAAAACATTCTAATTATCTGTTGGAGTTACAGAAGAAAAATGTAATCTTCCACACGTCCACTTCCAGTATCAAAGAGTGGTTACAAATGACTGAGAACTGTGAAAGAATAATACTGAGCATTTGTTTGATTGTGGTCTTTCATTGCAAAATGAAAGCCTCCATAGTTTTCTCTTATTCTATAGTTCATTGCTGGTTTTTTCTCCTTTTTCTTGTCAAATCTACACTTTATAATCTGTCAAAATCAACACAGAAAAAATGGAACTCCTATATTTAATTTAAAACTCATTCCCAAACTAAGAACTCAGCCAAGCTAAATTAATTTGGTGAAAGATTATTAACATGCTGCCTGGTCATCCTGTCAGGCTCAGAACAGAAGGATCCAGACAAACAGATTTCTCAAAGCATTTATTAAAAACTGTACCAGAGTGAGCGCCGTCGGCATCTAAGGCAGGAACCTCTGCAAGAGGAGACAGCAGATTAGTGACCACGGCTTTCTGGAACTGGATGATAACGAACTAGTGAGTCACTAACTGGTCTTATAGTTCAGTCCGATCCAGAGGGTAAGGATGGTTCCATCCAGCTTGCTGCCAATGCGCAATGCTGTCACCACACACAGAGAGTTCCAGAAGCTATCGATGGTTGGAGGAAAGGCAGGAGATCAGAACCAAGCAGATGAATGTAGGCAGAATAATCCAGAGGGTGAAGCCAAAGTTGATGTTGCTGACATGCTCTGTGACATGTCAGAGCCAGGAGGTCATAAGGTACCGCAGGGGTGAATCAAGAACGGAGTCAGGTCACAGCTCCAGGTACGATACTGGCAGGAGTCAGAAGACAGGTCAGGCAGACAGATCAGACAGGAACAGGCAGGCTCAGAGGTCAAGAGGCAGAACAGGTCAGGATCAGGTAATCAGGACACAGGAATGCTAGAATAAGTCTCAGCAAATGGCTCAAATGATCTGGCCCTGATGACTGGTGTGAAGGCTGGTTAAATAGAGACTGATGAAGGTGGATCAGATAAGCAGGTAATGAGACCTGGGTGGAGCTAAGCAGGTGTGTGAAATGAGTAATCAGACCAGATATCAGTGCCAAGATCTAGACACATCCAGCTAATCAACACAGAAATATTAATGTGTCAAGTTTTTAATATTTCTTTACAAAAAGAAAAAAGAGAATAACAAAGATTCTATGGAAATAAAGCAACAACTGCAGGTTCACTATGAGCTCCAACTTCATGTGTAAAAAAGAAAACAACAGCCTTTTAGCTTCTTGGCTCTCGGCTGTTTTAGCTTATGGTAGATTTACAAATAAAAATCACTGTTAACACAAATAGCTCTATTATTACAATCCCAATACCAGTCTGACTGCCTATTTTGTAAAACATTTTCTTGTGAGTGTTCTTGCTGAGTATTTAGTATTTATGTACTAATGTGATGTTATGCCTGGTTGGGTGAAAGAACAGTGACTGTAAAACAGAGTTTGAACTAAATCTGTAATCTCAGATTTCCAAGAGGCTGCCAACATTTCCAGGACCAAGATGTTGCATAACAGACAGAGTTTAAAAGTTTGGAGGATAAAAAAAAAGCAGCTTTGATTCCATATTATCTATATTTTCAAAAGGATTCTAAATAGTCGGAATCAGGACTTCTAATCACTTTCCTGGCCACAGGTGTATGAAATCAAGCGTCTGCAGGCTGCTGTTACAGACATTAGTGAAAAAGTTGGTCCCACTTAGGAGCTCAGTGAATTCCATTTGAGAGCTGTGATGGGATACCACCAGTTGTGAAATTTCGCTCCGGAATATTCCACAGTGGAATGTCAACTGCATCACAAAAAAATGGAAATGTTCAGGGAACCATAAAGTGCTAGGCCACATTAAGTGACAGAGTGGGTTCAGTGGACGCTGAAGATCATAGTGCGAAGAGGTCGGCAATTTTCTCCAAAGTCAATCATCGCACACCTCCAAATTTCATGTGGCCTTGAGATTAGCTCAAGAACAGAAGAACAGCGATCTTCGTGTAATGGGTTTCCATGGTCCAGCAGCTGCATCCAACACTACATTTCCAAATGCAATTCAAAGCATCATATGCATTGGTGTAAAGCAAACCACTACTGGATTTCAGAGCAGTGAAGACACATTCTCTAGAGTCATCTGTAAATCTGATGGA